TCTGAATCTTCAAACTCATCAGAATTGTATGTGTCACCACATTCTATATGCTCTTGATTTAATGTACAATTTGTGTGGCCTAGAATCTCACCTGAATCTACTTCAATGTAGGAGTCCAAATGTTCAAAATACAACTCAACTACTCTATCATTCGGGATAAATTTTTTAATTGAGAGAGCTTCTACTTCAGTAGACACTAATCTCCACCTATCACCGAACTTTCCAAATTTATGCCAAAATATTTCCGAGTCATTCATATAGCCGCACATAACAGCCATCTGCTTCAAATCTGCTAAATTAAGGTTTTTTGCTTCAACATAATCAAAATAGTCCACCATTCCTCCAACATAAATTTTCCTTGGTTGATGCTTCATTAGTCCCATATGATTAATTTTAATACTAAAAATTCCAACCTCGAACACCGGATCTGTAAAAAAAAATTATGAGGACCACCTACATATAATATTTTTGGGACCACTAGTGAATATTTTTTACGAGATTAAAGGCTTAGGTTCTGAGACCCTTATCTAAAACTTTATGCATTTGTTGAAAAACTCAAAACTAACAAAAGACAATACTTTTACCTAGACAGAGACATAAGAAGTCATAAGAGAAACAACAAACAGAGTAGTAAAATACACGCAAAACATAAAATCTAGAAACAAAAATCTTACCATAATATAGAGTTGATTCTTTGTCACCATTTCTTTTGATGAACATTCTTGGTAATAAAGAAGAATGTAAGTATTTTTACTGCATATAGAATTCTATAGTGAAACTTCAAAGAGATGAAGATGGAGAAAATTAGGGCACCTTTGGCGCTATGGCTTATGAGGAGATGAGAAAGTTTTCGCGGTTTATTTTGAAGTGGGACCCGATGTTAAAGTTAACATGAGTTTTTTGATGTATCTGTTAGTTTTAGGTCAAAGGATCAAATTGATCATCTTTTATAATACATCAAGGACCATATAGATCATGTGAAATATATTAAGGGTCAACATAAAACAACCATTATACATCAAGGACCATTTTGATCATTTTCTCTATTGTATTGTATTGTTATATTCCGTTGTTACGTAACAATGAAAACCCCATTTTATGGAACAACCAATATGATGTGTTTCCATTGTTACTTAATTTCTTTTTCCAATTATATCTTTACATAATATTTCATAATACTATTTTACCCTTTACCTTATATTATTTAATTCTAGTCAAACCTCCTACCCTAGAATAATTAAGGATATTTAAGTAAATTTATAAAATACAATACAATACGATACAGTCAAACCAAAAATAAAAATGTTATTAAACAACAACAAACAATTCAGTCTAGCCAAACATTGTATCTACCATACAATATAGTACAATACAATACAATACAATACATTATGAAACAATGGGTAACAATGATCCAAACAGAGTGTAAAATTCTATTTCCATCATATTAATATATTCTCTCCATCCAACAATAATTATCCACTATACTAAACATAATTGTTCAACAATACTTGTCCAATTTAGAAAATCAAGACATAATTTTGCCTTTGTGTCTATTTGACCCTTGTTATTAAATAAGTAATATATATCATCTAACACATTTGTCAAATCATTAAATTTAACAAAATCAAAGGATAATATAATAATATTACCCTTATTATTTATTATTTTTAAAGGGGTGTTTCAAGACAACAGTGAACAATTTTTGTTGGATAGATGAAATAAAAAAGATCACAACTTATGTATCGTATAGTTTTCACACATCTAAAAAATTTAAATATTAAATTAATTTAATTCATTTTATTAATACTAACACATTACATTATAAGCCATTAAAGTTTAAACCATGACGAATGCAACAAAACGATCACAAATTATAAGTCGAAAGAAGTGCACAGAGTCCAGAGAGATTTCTCGATAATCGTGCCAGTCGGTTACAACTGAAATTTTTCTTTGATTTGAAAAAATGAATTAAATAAAGGAAAAATACAAAAGCAAAACTGAAAAATCACACTATATATATACACATAGGGCTAAATCGCAAGCATGTCTTCAATGAGGGGACTATTCTCTCTCAATCGATAACTTTGGGTTTCAGAGAATGACATTAAGATCAAAGTAGTTTTCATTCCAAATTCACCTTCCATTGCTTACATTATCTGTTTTTTTTCACGGTTTTGTTTTTGTTTTCAGTAGAATCGGAGTAATGGTTGAGGTCCTTGAGGACAAAATCGTTCCCGGAGAAGAGAGTTTCGATCAGGAAAACAGTGATGATGAGACGACCGACGATGAATCTGATGTGTCTGAGGATAGTAGCGTTACTGGAGAAAGCTACGATGAACGTCCCTTCATTAAAACTCTTGTCGCCAACAGAAAAATGTACTTGATTGAGTGTATTGGCAAATCTGTTGAATCCATTGAGAAGGATATGGAGGAACTCGAAGTGCGACGTACTAAAGTAACTTGTCCTACTTCTCTAATGATCATTGATGGTCATAAGAACTTGCTCCTTGATAGACGCGAAAGAATGCAAAAGAGGTTGGAAGAGGTGAAGCATGGACTGCAGCCAGTTCAAGGTATATCATATTCTAGTTGTGCATGTCTATAGACGTATCTCGAAGTTATTATTAAATTCTTCCGATTGATCTTAGTAATTTGGTGAAAAAGGAATTTAGTTATCTGTAATTCTGTCGATTGTTAAGAATTGAAGTTGATATAGAAGCTTCTTTGTGATTCGACATCGACAAATGCATCTCTATTTTTTGTTCATCAGGCCTAGTTAAATGCTTTTTCAAATGATAAAAGTTTATCGTCTTCCAACTTATTATTTGTAGCGATCTATTGAAACAAGCTCAATAATCACTAATTGAAATTACAAAGAAATAACAACTGAACTGATATGGAAGAACAAATAAGAAGAAGAAGAGTGATGCGGAAGAAGATAGAAAACTTCACATAAAAATAACCTACTCTTACTATGCCTACTCACTGCTCCTTATAGCAAACTCTCACTCATTACACTGTTTCCCTGCACCACTTGCTATTCACGTTTTTGTCATCCAGGCTTCACAATGAGATCTGCTAACCTTTTAGAGGGAATTGTCACGGCTTGCTCCTTTTAGGTCTGAGTAATGTTCTTGTCCACTGTAGCTGCCAAGTTCTCCTCGACGTCATCATTTGTGTTCATAACATTTATCTCCATTTTGAAATTTCTGCCTTATAGACTTTATCTTTCCTTCAATGCTGCAACTCCTTTGACTGAATGATTAATCCTTGAAATACTGCTGTTTCCAATCTCAGAGTCGCTAAAAGAAGATAATCAGACCTTGACTGACCTGAAAATTGAGATAAATACTGATGAGAAGAATGAAAATCTGATGATGGAGCATGTTGATCTGCAAGTTAAAGGTACAGCTTCAGTTTTCTGTCTGTTTTGTGTATGTATGGTTGTATATCTGAAGAGCATTCATGTAATAAACCTTTTTATGATCATTTGGAAATTTGGTGATGTAGTTTTTAATTAGAAGATTTGATTAATGCTCTGATCTATTTGCTTAAGATGTTCTCTCATCTTGATATTCATTGTAGTTTCTGTCAGATTCGCTAAATTATTCTAATAGGCCTTCTGCCTGTGTTCATTAGAGTTCAGTTTCATAATTTTTGTACTTTTATCTCTTTTTTAAAACTCTGTTCTTATCTATTCGTTTTAGATGTTTGCTCATCTTGTTATTCATTAGGTTTCTACCAGGTTCTGCTAAATTATTCTATTAGGCCTTCAGTTTATGTTCCGAGAAGTTCAACTTCAAAATGGTTTTACTTTTATCTAGCATTTAATCTTAACTCTATTCTGATCTATTTGGTAAGATGTTTGTTCATATTTGTATTCATTGAACTTTCTCTCGGATTCTACTAAATTATTCTATTAGGTCTTCTGTCTGTGTTCAGCTTCATAATGTTTGAATTTCTCTCTGTCATTTTAAACATTGTTATGGATTTTGGTTTTACTGCAGTGTGACATAAATAGCAACACTGGAAATGAGGAGAAGGGCCAACAACTGAGGTTTGCAAGTTAAAACTTTGTTCACATTTCAAGGTTTAGAAGTAAACGAATTTTCTGTGGCGTAAATAAAGAAGTGAAGTATGATAGCTGATGTTGAGACTATGAATGACTTGTTTTGTCCTAAGATTTGCTGTGAGTACTCTTTGGTGAAAAGCAAGTAAGGACAGAAAAATCTTCAAATAGTTCATTGCATTAGAATGCTAAAGTGAAATACACAAGAATATTGTGAGACAGCAGCTTATTACTATACTCGAATCTTGACATTCAGTTTTAATACAATGCTTAGTCCTGTATTCATTATTTCCGTCTCGTTTCTTTTTTTTTTCCTTTAACCTGTCTAGTTTTCTCCATGTTCTAATTTCCAAATTGCTGATTGAATAGAACACACACTGCCTGAAAAAAGAAAGGATAAAGGTTTCATTTTAGCAGTGTCTAGTTTCTAGTTAAAAGATGAGTTAATGCTCAAAAGCACTCTTAAACTATCACTTTTTCTCGAGTTTCAGACTGCAACTATTCATTGTTCCCTTTACCTACCTAAGCTATCATTCCCTTTGTATTAAAACACACATCGATGCTAAGTTGGTCAAATATTAAATCATTCATACATTAAGCAGTCATTTTCTGATAATTAAGTAGATATACTAGTATTTTACAAAAAGAACTCCCTCACATTTCCTAGACGCATAATATTCTTTTTTTGCTCAATTTGAATGAAACAAGACGCATTTGGAACCCACACTCTCTGTTCTGCATGTCCTAAATTAATTATCTTGATCTTTAGAAGTTTTATGCTTTTGAGGTCTTTGGGAAGAAAAGTAGAAAAGGCACCCCACTTCCAACATCATTAAATTCCAGATTGCCTATTGCGAACCAAAAATATTTGAGAAGAAATTGGATATCCAAAAACTTGTAGTGGAAACCCAAATAATGGACAAAGAAGTGAAACAAACAAGAAAGCAATGTTTAATAACAAACATGTTGCACGTAAGCACCCAAGGATGTGCCAAGTAGTCCCGAAACGAGAAAAAGCCTCGAGATCAGGAAAGAAATCTCACTAGAGACCAACAAAAAAAACTCTAGGCGATTTTTTCACAGCTACCTAGGTCTTGGTGGGTAGAGTTATTGGGTAGTAGCAGATATTCAAGGAATTGGTCGAAGTGTGTGCAACCCTAGCTTGTATACCACTGATATGGAGGAAAAAACAAATGTGCTTCACACTTATTGGAAATGACTATCTGCTAGCCATTTGACTTCATCATCATTGGCAAGAGTATTGAGCAACAACATGACCTTTGTATCACTTGTGTGAGCAATATCTAGAATGAGCTTGCCAGATACCTGCTCGGGAGGAAAATTTGTCACTTTTAAATGCTAAGTGTTGAAGCGCAATAAGAAGAAAACATATGTGATGGAAAATAGGCTGAGACTTACATCTGTATTGTTGAATTTTCCAAATATGTGGAAGGACAAGTTTCATTTTCCAAATCATGCCTTGCAGGTTTCTTAAATAGGTGTCCAACAAGATAAGGCGTAGATCGTTCTCCCTTTCCACCCCAGTAACATCCACTTGTTATCTTGATCGATTACAAAGTCTTTGTGATAGCTTGTTCTCACCTTTTCAACTGCTATATTCATGATCTCCTGTTGCTCAAAAGGTATTTGTGTAAACCTTGCCCTTAGATGACGAACTTGCCACTGCTTATATGTCTCTGGCCTTTCAACTCTTTCCCATCCTTCGCAAGCTATGACATTCAGGGCTTCCCTCCCAAAGATCTCTCTCTCAATTAACATTCTTTCCGGATACTCCCGGGGTACATTAGCTTCCAGCATATCAAAAAGTGCTGAAAAATGAAACAGGACCTCACGGAACCGTGTGACAAAGAATGGGGCACTATAGGCCCCATTGACAATCCCATGGATGAAAATGTCTGGATTGATCTCCCTTATTAGATTGAGAACGAGAGTTCTCGAACTGTCAGATAACAAGGTCTCATCGTGCAAGTTCTTAAATCTATACAAACAATTGACAACAAGATACTCATCCTTTTCAAGCTTTAGATCCTCAAGTCTGATGGTTTCCCATTTCTTTGCTATTGCTTGGTACTCAAATGGAACATTAAAGGACTTGGCATAATCGCTCAAACGGCGTCCTGTTTCCTCAATCCTTTCTGCTGGCCTGAAGCCAGGTTGAGGAAATTCTATACCAGTAATACGAAGATTTGGTGGTCCACCTTCTCTTGCTGCAATACGTTGAATTAACGTAGGCCATTGAAAGCCATAGAGGATGCCAAAGTCAATGACATGGACCCTTGTAGCATTCTTTGATTTTCTAATGATTGTCTTGTTTGAGGTAAAACCTGACATCTTTCTGAATGGGCATGATGCAAGATACAAATGATAGGCCTTTAAAAAATCAGCTGCTGATGTTCGTTTATTGACGAGGGCCTTATAAATCTGGCTACCAGTGCCTGCCAAACGTGCTTCCAGACCATCTGCAAAACAATGAGCTAATCTCTGGTTGCCATCTCCAAAAGGAGATGAATGAAGTCTTACCTGTTTCAGCAGTTCAGTTGCACTCCTGCAATCATCAGCAGCAACAGCTTGTGCACAATTTATTAAAAGAGACCTTAAATCTATGACTTCCTTTTTACTAGACTGTTTCTTCCCGCGGCCTCCCCTCCCTACAGCAAATCCTTTTGATTGCACCGTGGGTTTTGTTCTAGCGTTCTTCAAGCTCTCACGATAAGCTGTCAATGCTTCCCTTCCATCCCCCATGCTATGCAACAAAATTACATCAAACTCATCCGAACGAACTGTAGATTCTGTATAAACTGCTGCTTGCTTGCTACTTCTTTCTTCTTCTTCTTCTAATAAATCCCTATCATCTCTATGAGGATTTTTCGTCCCTCTCGGCCCTGTAGGTGAAGTCGCTCCCACATCCCTTTTCTCCACCGCACAACCACTTTCTCCTCTTTTCTCCTGAGGTAGCAAGTCGTTGATAACCACATTGTCCAACAACTTATTATCAGTAGGGAGGAATTTCCTCGCTTCTTCCACTCCTTTCCTAAAGTTCCAAATCGGGTGGCTATCATTATATATATCAGGAATATGAAGAGGACTTACAGGAGAGTCCAAGAACCCATCTACAAGATTATTTATGCTATTCGATGAGCTAATCGAAGAGTAAGGACCATTACAAAAGAAAAGGCCTTGTTCATAAGAGTAATTATGATCATTTGAAATGCTAACCAACCTTGGATCAATTAGGTAACCACTACTGTCAATGACATTACTTGTAGAACTATACAGACTTCCTGAGTAATAGTCATCCGGTATCTCACCGTTCTGGTCAGTAATAGACAGGTTCTGCTGAGGTGAATTGCCAAGGGCCTCATAAAATGATCTCTCTTTCGCTTGAAGTTCCAACGACTCTTGAAGCATATGTGTCTTGTCCTCCATATCTTCTTCCATAAGCATCTGATTTATATAGCTCAAAACCGTATCCGAGAAATCAAAATCTTCATTGTATTCATCCTCAGTACCAATCTCAGAAGTCACTGCTATATTGCTTGTTGTTGAAGGGTCATTTGAAAGAGATGGAACATTATGTTGGATAAAACTATTTTCAAATCTTGGAACATTGACTATTTTCTGATCTGGATAAATAGCCCCAATTATAGGTTCATTATTCTTCCAATTATCCGAAAAGCTTAGTAAGGATTGGTTCTCCAGATTAAATCCATTCACAGTAGTTGGAAATCTATTGAACCTTGGATCCATTTTAACCTAGTAATTCATAAATTCTCATATCAAATCTCAATGTCACATGATTCTCCAAAAAAAAATGACAAAGCTATTAATACAAAACAAACATCAAATCATATACATTAACAAGATTGAAATTTTATCACAGATTATCTGAACTAATCTTCAGACTCTTGCCCCAATAAGATCCTTTTTCACAAAAAAAAGTTAAAAGTGTCATCATTGACTCAAAATTATGCTCATATTTAAAGTACTTGAACAAAAATCAAGAGAACCCCAGAATTTACAGGCAAGCATAAACCCCTCAAAAAAACACAGTTGATATGAAGGGAAAATGTAAAGGGCATACCTCAAACCTAAGGGAAGATGAAGAATTGGAGAAAGAAAGATGCACTGTGAAGAAACACTGGAAAAAGAGTTCTTTTTTATAATATAATAATAAAATCAAAGCGTTGAAAAAGCTTTAGCCAGTTAGTGATCGTTGTTGTGAAATTGAAAGTTTAGTGTTGTCAGGTTTCAAATAACTGGTTTGTGGATTCAGACCAATTATTATTTGCAAGCCACCTGTAAACAAAGAATCAATAGTTTCTTCTGTTTTTTTTTTTTTTTTTTAATATGAGCTTTTTAAATGGAGTTCATAGGAAATGGGACACCCTTTTTGGGTGTGTAAAATTGTTGCTGCAATAGGCCCTGGCAAGGTGAGTGGATTAGTGGGCACATTACTGTAGTGACAGAAGTGGGTTGCATGTGCTTGAATACAAAAATTGTTGTTTTCTATTCAGCAGTCGGCACGTCTTAAGGTGCTGACAACCCTTGTGATGCACACTAAGTCTTGGCTCTTATTTCAACATATCTCAACCAAAAACATGACAACTAATACGAAAACAGTGATAAAAGACATATATGGTAGCACAAAGAAGAACAAGGTGTGATCATCTAAGCGATTTGTTTATGGATTATGATTTGCTCATTTGAAGGAAAAATATAATTGCATGTTCGAATAAAAAAATTATTTTAAATTAATTTGATTTCATATACTATGTCTAACCAGGTCCTTCTAAAGGAGTGTCATTAGAGGTATGTGTGGTATGAAAGCAATTTCATGAAGAATAAGAGGTTTTCTTATTTATTTTTTGATATTTGATGAATAAATAAGAAAATATATTATTTCAAAAAAAATTATGTTAAATTTAGGATGTATGTTCAAAGGACGTCGGAGGGTGAGGATGAGATAATAAGTTAAAATACTATTATCGTTTAAAATTTGCATCAAAGAGTACGACTTAGTATATCATGATATTAGTTAAGGTGTGTGATTCAGATATTACTTTTTCTATCTCACAAGAAAACATATGTTCTAAAATATTTGTAGAACTCTCACGTTCATTGGTCAGCAACGAATATGAAAAAAAATAGTATTTTATATACACTAATTTTATAATAGTTTTGAGCACTGAGTCAATGAGGAGAAAGTGGGAAAAATAAAGTGGGAGATTGGGATTGGAGAGAGTTGGGCCATGGACGCCACTTATAATTAGACGAAATAAATAAATATATAAATTTTTTAAAGTTTGTGCGTCGTAGGTTTGATGGATTGTTTCACCTTACCACTTATAATTAGACGAAATAAATAAATATATAAATTTTTTAAAGTTTGTGCGTCGTAGGTTTGATGGATTGTTTCACCTTATATCTGGTGTTTGAGGTGTCTAAAATCTTATATATCTATCTATCTATTCGTGCTCAATTAATTAGGTGTTCGTAACTAAAACAAAGAAGCAACTAGGTAAATTTCGTGTTAAGTTAAATAAATATTTGTAATTGAAGCAAAATGTTTTAAAATACAGTTTTAGAACTCATTTTGGGGTAGTATACTAGTAAAACACCTCGAGAAACACATGTGGGTATAATTGTGTAACGTTTATGCTTTAAGCATCTAACTGTATTCTCTATACACACGTTTAATGTTTAACGCTCAAGACTTACCAAACGATTTTTAAATAAATTATGTATCAAATTCTTTAGTTAATACCGTACCTTGACCCTTATAATTCTTAATAAATGAGAAATTATGACTTTTTAGAAGTGTTTGTTGTTTTGTTTACTTTGTATCAGAAATAATTTTTATATTGTCCCATCCCAAATGCATAAAAAACTATCAGAATGAACCTAGACGCATTTTCAACCTAAGATTTCTAGCGTATTCTAAATAATTTTTTCTTTTATTTTTTAGTAACAATTTATACTTTCTAGATCTTTGCAAAAAGAAAAATAGGACCACCCCACTGGACCTATTTTAACTGAAGTTCTTTTAAGTTTAAGGACAGATATATCTAATTTATTTAATCCTTAATATATTATCATGGGCACATGTATATCTGTATCATCCATTCAACATTAAATCTAATAAATATATTGGCCGGGTTAAACTAAACGGAGAAGCTTGGATTTTCAAGAATGAGAATCATATGATATATGGAGAATCTCTTATTATAATTATTCATGTTTGAGATGTTTTTTAATGATCGGAAGTTGGATAAAATGATCGTTATGTAAGGATTACATTATCCTCAATTTTTTTTATAAAATGCATGATGCTCATTAAATGCTAACAAAAATTATTTCCACTTAGACAATTTTTAATATCCAAAGGTTAAAACTACTTTGGAATAAATTCTAACCACGGCTTAGGATAGTAGCCTTTCCAAATTCCACGCGTTTGGAGTATAGATAAAGCAAAAAAGTTGGATGCAAGTAAGACATAGCCAATCAGAAAATACAAAGTTTTTTTCTTTTGATTTTTTGTTCAGTGTTTAATGATTGCATTGGGGGTCGACTCTATTCCAACATAACCCTTGTTGGTTACAAACAAGGGTTAACGACAAGTAATTTTGAGATAATTAAGACACAATATGTTGACACAAACAAGTAATTTTGAGTTACGGTTAAAATACATACCGTCGTTTACAGTAATTCAACAATAATATCAACCGATATATATATTGTTAAAGAATGACAAAAGTCCCACATCGGTGGTTAATGAGATGGGTGGACTCCTTATAAGGCTTGGACAATCCTTGTCACTCCCCGAGTCTACACCCTGGGCGGGACCGGCACTCGACGACCATTGTTGGCCCCAAGCGAACCATTGGCCTGACTTTCTTAACTCAGCGGAAACCTAACTCAACAGAATAACTTCATGCAAAGCAAAGTCATAAGACAACTTAACTGATACAAATCTGACCAACAAGGCACCTCGGGTCTCAAAATATAATATTTACATATATAAGAGACTCAAAACTAACTGACTGACTGTCTATGAAGCCTTTACAATACTGAGATGGATGTTGGGACAGACCCCACAACATCCTACTAGGACAAAACTAAGAGCACAAAATAACCGAGTCCTCCGGAAAGCAAGGAGGCTCACCACTGACTCTGGAGTGCTCAGTTGGATCAACGACGTGCAGGATGCTGATCCGGGGTACCTGTATCTGCATCATAATAAGATGCAGGCCAACTGGCATCAGTACATGGAATGTACGAGTATGCAAGCTGGAAAACTAAGCAACCTAGGCTAGAAGGAAATCTGGAAGAAACTGAATAGCTTACCTGGCTCAACTCAACTCAACCTGACTGACTTCTTTCAATATAAGGCAATTTAAAACAAGTGCGATATAAAGAATACTGTTTAAAACATGCTATAAACTCTGTGTGTATACAAAGATATAATAAGCCTGAAGTGTATATAGAAATACAATGAACTGATGTATATAAAAATACAATAACTTCTGTGTATGAAAATACAATAACTGCTGTGGGAGTTTCTCTAACCGACAACCATCACACGAGAGCTATAGTGATGATACAGCGATCGACCTCACTCTGCCAGAGCATCTTATACCCGGCCATAGGTATAAGACCTGAACTGCCTAAGGGATCCACTAGTCTAATCTGAAAAGGATTCATCTAAAAAGTATGAACCTTTTCTACCCATGGTGGCTAACATGGTTCTATGGGGGTTGTGGGTTCTTTGAACGCTCCCCCAATTCGGTGCTCGATACTACTCCCAAAAATGTACTGGCTCTTATGTTTTTAAAACATATTTCTTCCTGCTGATATGAGATAATTACTCAAAAACTAGCCCGAAGGCTCCTTTGGAAATCTCAGTTTCCAACCTTGTTTAAATGTACAAACATTTCTTTAAAACTTCTTTGGGAATACATAGTTCCCTAATAACTTTGAGAAATGACTCAACTTGGAACTCTTGACTCTTTACTCTTTACTTGACTTGCAACTTGAGCCTTAGAATGAAGTGAAAACGTTCAATAAAGACTCTTGAACAACTTTGAAAACTTACTTGAACTAACTTATTAACTTTGCTTGACTTGACTCTAACTTCTCTTTAACTTGATACTAACTTGCCTTGAATTGAACTATGGATTCAAGGTGTATGATCACACGTATTTAGATGAGTTCGGGATGTTTAGAAACACTTTGGGGGGAGGGGGGGGGGGGGGGGGTTGGAAACAACTAGGGAACATAGGTATAACACCTAGGAACATGCATGAGAAAGCATGGAAAGAATAGGAAAACTTGGCGCTCTGAGAAGCGCAGAGCGCTAGACCATAAACTTCAGAGAGGGACTGCTGGTGTACTGAGAGGCGCGCCGCCCCAAGGGGAAAACCTCAGAGCCCCTTTTGGGGTGCGCTGGCAGGCGCGACGCGCCGACCCCTTGCCCAGAAAACTCAACTTTTCTCCCATTTTTCTTCAACTCTAAACCATCCTTACTTCAATGGATTTAACCCCAAACACTAGGGATCATCAATCTCTCAACATACAATAGATTACAACTCAAATGCACAATCCAATCATGTCCCACAACCAACAATAACTTCAATAACACAACTAACAATATCAACAACAACTAACAACTTCAACAACAATTCCAATCTTTTCTCAAATCATAAAATGAGCTTGGTGTGTGGGGGAAAGGATCAACCCACACAAAGAACTCACATACCTTGATAGGGATCACCCCC